CAAGCCAAAGTACCCTGAAGCACTTGTCCTCTATTATTCCCTGACAGTCTAATTTCTCACTCACTCAGAAACACTCTTCTCCCTGCCTGAAAATCTCAATCCTGTCTCTTTCAGATCAAATCCCTCTTCTCTCTCTTAGGTCAAAACCTTCTCTCTTGTAGATCAAATCATTCTTCTCTCTCTCTGACAGAAAGTACAGCCTTTTTACACACTCCTTCAACTCCTCCCTTAGGGGTCTGAGCCAATCAGGAGTTAGCTGACTCCTCCCCTTGTCTCTGCCTTTACCAAAATGTCAGCTATCCTGAGCTGCCCTCCCAACATGGAGGCCTGCTCACTGACTCCCAGGCTGCGGCCTACGAAGCAAAGGTATGAGTACACAGACAACCTCCAACCTCCACAAACAGGTTCCAAGTGCTGAGAACCCTCCAAAGGCACTCCCTCAACTGACATTACAGGTTATAGTGAGCGCTGTGAACATGAAGTCCAACCCCTGCCAATGTCCTCACATTTAAGGAATGCTTTCATTCGGGGACCATTTCATCTTAGATGTTGTTTTTTTCCCTCCAGAATGGACATCCTGGGGTTGCTTTTTCTCTCCAAATTTGCATAGCCTTGTCCACTGCCTCTCACTTAACCCTTTCTACATATTCCTATGGCACACAGCAAACAGGAATTAATCAGCAACTGAGGTTTGGGAAGAATTTACTATGATTTACAGGAGTTGTAATTCACCTATATTCAGAGAGCACTCTGAACACAACCCATGATGGACCTGGACCACACTTGCCACAGATGCTGGGATTTGCAGTACCTTCACTCACTTCCTGAGACCACTACAATCCCTAAGAATGACGGACCTGGACAAAATTTGGCAGAAACCCCGCATGACCCACCTCATGCCCTGGCGAAGTTTGGGGGAGGATGGACCATGGATGATGGGATTTGCAGTACCTTTACCCGAATCACCTGCCACAGAACTCTGCGGCCCCCACTAATCACCAACTTGTACCAAACTTGGCACACAGACCCTCCCATCACCCACTTTACATCCTAGTGTGGTTTGGGAGATGATGGACAATAGGTGATGGGAGTTGCAGTACCTTCAATCACTTCTTGAGACCACTGCAACTCCCACCAATGATGAATCAGGACCAAACTTGGCACACAGAGCCCCCATGAGTCACTTTATGTCCAGGCGCAGTTTGGGAGATGACGAACCATGGATGATGGGATTCTCAGTACCTTCACTCACTTCCCGAATAACCCAGGCACCACCAGGTCCCCAAGCTAGTAAAAATAATAATAACTATTATTATTATTATTATTATTATTATTATTATTATTATTATTTTAAACACAACAAGATGAGTCCACAGCAGACACTCTGCTGGCTGTTGAATTGGATCACACGTCGGACACTTCCCAAGTGTCTAGGACTATGTGATGTATCGGCGAATAATGCATGCAAATTATTATTATTATTATTATTATTATTATTATTATTATTATTTTAAACACAACAAGATGAGTCCACATCAGACACTCTGCTGGCTGTTGAATTGGATCACACCTCGGACACTTCCCAAGTGCCTAGGACTGTGTGATGTATCGGCAAATAATGCATGCAGATTATATTATTATTATTATTATTATTATTATTATTATTATTATTATTATTATTATTATTATTATTATGGCTTCTCCCAGCTCTATAAATATAAAATCTGAGGATTTTAATGACCTTATTTGGAAGGCAAAGAACAAGAAAAGCTTTTGCTGCCCAAGGGTATTATTTTTCCCACTATGGAATGGAAATATTTGCTTTCAGCAATACATTATGCTTTTCCTCCTTCCTGCTGTCATGTGTACATTCAGCAGAAATCTGTGGCTGTTTCTGGTTTTCTGGAGTTTGTACCTGAATACATGCATTTTCTGTTTGCCTATATTAATTTTAGCAACATGTTCAGAATTCCCCAAACACACTGAGAGGGGAGGAGAAGAGAATGCAAGTGCATACACATTAAAATATAGCATGTAGGAGTGGTACAGAAACTATTCAAGACTGGAGTGACAGGGCATTTCTGCAGCATAGTGGTTACGTGCCAAAGAAAGCCTGACTTTATGATGATTCCCTTTACCCTTGTATGGGTGTCATTGAGACGGCAGAGTTTCAAGATGGGATGTAAAATATTCCAATAAATTCATGCTGTCTTTGAGCATAAGCAGGGGGAGTTCTTCCCTCCTTGCAAGGAAATCTTGGGTGTAGGAAAAGTAGGAGAGGGGGGATGTAGATGGGAAAGGGAGAGAGAAGCAAGGGGAAATCTGGAACCAGCAACAGAAGAAGCAGAGGGAGCTCATTAAGAGAGGCTCCTGTTTTTCATCTGTCAGCAACCCCTTTAATCCATACACTCCTAAAGTGACTAAAACAAAGTTTTAAATCAGGATTGGTAATCTGTCTTCCTCTAGTTGTGGCCAGATAGCATAATAAGTGCTGATGGGAGCTGTAGTTGGCAATATTTGGAGGTACCGTAGATTCCCCACCTCTGATTTAGATGTTGGGCTTATTCCCATTTCCCTTGCAGAGCACCAGGTTTCAGCGGTGGTCAGGGAGCTTTTGCACAACTAAAACCTGTGCGCCAGCTGCGCCCGTACCTTGGGAAATCTGACTTGGCCACGGTGGTCCACGCTTTGGTTACATCCCG